TTTAATTATTAAACTTGACCTGGGAGAAAAACTTGCCATGTATCTGAAAGTGAATACCTTCCCCAAAATAATTTCTTACGTTTTAATAAGAATGTATTCGAAGCAATTTCATCAATAATGGAAGATCAAATTACTGGTCTTCTGGATGAAAACATTCTTTTCATGTGAGATTTTAATGCTAGAATAGGAAGTTCAAACATTGCCAGTGAAATCTCTGACTAATTAAATGATTATAGCCTAAAGGGAAGGGCAGCCAAGGCCCCATTATTGATCTTCCTATGAATGGCCTCTATGTGTATGAGGCTATGTGATGACCACATGGACACACACACACACACACACACACACACACACACCCCTTACTTCAAAAGAAAAGTGTAAGGAGTTATTTGCCAAAAAATCAGATCAACTTTTAAATAAAAAAAAAAAGGATATTGTTTCTGTAGGAAGCCCTTTTCAGCTTTTTGCAGAAAAAATAGTTGTATTTAAGAACACACTGGTAGATTGAACCCTTGCACTGTGCTGGGCCTTCACTTATTCAGATGTTTGGAGATAACAGTAATAATAATTGTTACCACTGTCTTATGAGCACATACGAAGTGCCAGGCACTCTTCCCTCCTTGCTTATTCTCATTTTACAGATTAAGAAACTGTGGCTCCATGGGTTCAATAACTCAATAAGTAGTAGAGTCGGGCATGTTGGGATTTTCTACACCCTCTCCTTGTAACACCTCACAATGAGACATTACTCTCTAGACTGTTTTCTCTGTTATCCGACCCACCTGCCTTGTAGGGAACCACCAGCTGTTCTCAGCCCGAGGGCAGCCGCAGGAATCCCAGGCTGAGTCTGGGAAATCAGGGCTCACACCCTAACAGCCCTCCTGGGAGGACTTTCCGTGGCACAGGATGTTGAAATGGACTTTCTAGCTGGGAGGCTGGCACCGTGGTTTCTCAGTGTTAAGAATCTGCTCCGCAGCGGCCCCTCTCCCCCTAACGCTGTGCTCCCCTCTGTTCACATTTTTGTGCCTGTGGGAGGGTCAGCAGCACCTTTAAACCTTTAATTCTCTTCATAACACTGTGTTTCCCTGGATGGCATGGAGTAGTGGATGGTTTGAGGGCTGGTGGGGCCGGAAGACAGGACCCTGAAATTTCCCTTTACTCGGTGTGAGGAAGGCTTGCGGGACCAAGTCAAGACAGTCCCCATGATTTGAGAATAGAAGAATCTTTGAAAGTGTTATAACATCTTTTTTTAAATGACTACAATGGTATTTCTTTATGAGGCCTTTATTTTAAGGGAGTATTTGGCATATGGAACTTTAAGAATATTTTTATTATACCACCTTCAGAATAATTTTTAACACGTAAGATCCCTCTTCTAGCACCCTTGAAAGCTATATCATTTATTGTGATATCATTTTGTTTATATCATTGTTATATCATTTATTGTGAGAAGTTTAGGTAGGTCAATTTCATATTTCTGGTGGCAAGACAAGTTTATCATGATCTTAGAGAACATGGTCACTGGACATAGAAGTTGTAAGTTAAAAAATAAAGCCTTGTTACTGAACTTTGGAAGAAGATTTGTTCATTGGTATTTGCGACTAACCTAAGCTGGTCTGGAACTCATTGAACAGTCATACTCAGATTAGTTCTGTAGCTGCTCAAAGCAGGACAAGTAAATGCTCAAATTTGGACAAAGTCCATCCCGTGACTGATCACACGTGGTATTCATAGATCACTCTCTCAGACAATTACTTAAACTCAGCCACAGCCAATACCATATCAGCTACAGATGAAAACGTGAGGAGTGATCATATTTTAGGATGACTTCAATGGGATAGAATGAATAAAGTTTTTATTTTGATTAATTACTTAATTTATATTATACCCTTCAAAGAGACCTTTACTTTTTAGTGGGAGCCCAGAAAAAAAATATATGATTTGGGTAAATAGGCTTAAAATAGACAGTGAATATTCTCATTTTAAATGCAACAGAATTACCAAACCAATGTGAACCCAAGCTAGAACTGGTATGGATAGGAGTAGGGAAGAGGGATTGAATGTGACCATTTATTTCACATCATAAAATCTTTACATGATAGAGACGTTTATTCCAAGTGTTTTGTTGGCATTTAGTGCTGCTGTCCATCAATTGACATAACAACCCCTCCCCGTAACATTGGCCTTTTGCCAGAAGCCTTTTGACACATAGAGGAAACGTGAGCCGCGGTCAGTGTCCCTGTCAGAGTCCCCTTTCACTTGGAGAGACAGTCCCGTTAGGTCGATGTGCCTGTAAGCCCTTGTAAAGACTTTCCTGAATTTGGATTCTTCACTCTGCCATCAGCCTCTCTTCCACTGCTGCATCCTGTTTACTCCCTAGGAATAAATGCAAATGTTTTTCCAAGCCTGAAAACCCCTGAGTCCACATTACAACCTAGGGGACTCAACCACCCTTTTTGCTCTTAGGTTTACTATGTACTGTTCAATACACCCAAGAGAGCTCGGTTGCAATTTTGGTGAACATCCGTAATTTGTGACTTCTATTTACACAAAGTGAATTCCTTGCTGGCTTTATTAATTCTGCAAAATCCAGTTTGCTTAGCACCAGTAACACTGTATTTGTTTCTTCTCAAATATAACTTCTTTCTAAGCTTCAGATGAGCTCCTTTCAGATAACATGCCATATATCTTCGATGATTTATTCACTTTCATGTTCCTTGGAATTTATTGTTAACGGTTGATGTGAATACATACAGTTTGGTTTCTAGTGTAATCTGCTGGATGGCAATTAATAAATAAAAGATGGTTACTATGTTGACAGAAGAATGAGCATTTCTCAGATACTTTTCATCTTCACGTTTTCACCAAACTTCATACCAGACATCCCTAGGGCTTGATGGTGTAAAATATTTTCTGTAAACTCCAAAGCTGTTACTGTTGCTTCAACACCCCAAGCCTTTGGGTTGCTTTTTGTTGCTTGTCAGAAATGATCTTATTCAATTTCTGTTTCTTCAGCTTACCATCCTTCCTGGGAATATAAGGAAAATCTTCCTTTCTGGATTTAAATGTATTCTCTGTATTTATGATTTGCAAGTGATACTGAAATATGTCTCTGAAATCTCTTATAATTTTGCTTTTGCTTAGTCACATTTCGGTTGCATTTATGGGCGATACACTGTCACTCTATAAAATGCAGTATGCATTGCCATCATGCATATTGTTCAAAATGCAAAATTGCATCCTGTAAGTTACTGTTTAAACTGTAAACAAAAATCCAATTTTTGCAGTTTGCCTGCTTGACTAGGTTCAGGGCTAATCTAAACTAATACTCTTTAAATTTTAGAGATGAGCAGTCTGTATCCTCGCTTCCATGTCTTGACCACCATCATGTCGAGAACAGAGGCCATGTGCTCCTTTGGGCACTACGAAGCAGGAAAGCTGGGGGGAGCCTGTCTCAGGACAGTTCCCAGCTCTGACGTTATGAAGTGTGTAACTTTGGACGAGGTATTTCACTGCTCTGTGCCTCAATTTCCTCTTCTTGAGACTCACAATAGTGCAATAACACAACTGTCAGGATTATAGTAAGTTATTATAAGTAAAATACTTCGGACTAAGCATTGTTAGCTGCCAGCATTCTTGTTGTTATTTTGACTATTCTTAATATATACAGAACATACAGAAAAGTGGGCATTGTTCTTTAATGTTACGTGTGTTTATATAGGTATTTCATCTTTGTTGTAGTTCTTTGTTGTACCACCTAGTACTGTGTTAAGCAGTCAGTGGTAGTATTAACGGTGAGGGCAGTCGTACAGCAGAAAGAGTGATCATAGTAAAAAAAGATAACACTGCTTAGTGAGCCTTACTGTATGCTACTTATTGAAGTATAGGTACTTATGCACCTACCTCTTAATATGCACTCAATATATATCTACTGAAAAACTGCAAAGTAGTTTAATTCCAGTGATGCAAGTACAGCCTTGTCATAATAATAATCTCCTTCATAACTGGAGAGGATTGTGAGTTTTGGCTCTGGTGGAAAAGAGCCCCAATAAAATTCCTTCCATCTTTAAAGAAACCTGTGCTGCTGGTATTTACACAGCTTAATCCTGTTATGGACAACTGGGAGCGTGGCTGTGGGTGGGAACAGAGGTCAAGGCCAAGGCCTGGGTGAAAGGGGGCAGAGGCAGGGCAAGACAAACAGTTCAAGTGAAAAATATCATATATCAGAACATAAATGATTAAAACTTATTTAGGTTTCACTTTTATTTTTTTAGAATATTATGTTGCATCAAAGTTGCCCCTTTTGTAAGTATCTAATTAGAAATAATTTGTAGTGATAAACACTGACACAGAAAAGTTGTTTTCATTCTTGCTTTGCTTTATTTATCTGTAGACTAAATAAATTGCATTCACCATACATTAAAAGTCACCAGAACAAGGTAAAGTATTTAATCACAGAAACTGAAATCACACCAGTGTTCTTTGATCTCTGTGCATAGTATGGTACTTAATAATTATAAAAACAGTGATGGAAATAATAAAAGCTACAGTGTGTGGAATGCTTGTGATGGGTCCTGGGAGAAAAGAGTTTATTATATTAGGTGCTCTGTGTATGTGTATGTGTGTGTGAGTTTGTGTATACACACAGCCATATACACACTCTCATACATATAATCTCTGCAGGCTGCTATAAACTTGCAAATTTATATGTGTGTGTGCATGCGCGTATATATATGCACACATATATACTTATTTTTATATACGATATCATTTTAAATCTTACCGCAACTTTATATCAAAGGAAACTAAGGCTCAAAGAACCAAACCATTTGCTTGAAGCCACAAAAAGAGGCAAAGCTTAGGTTTCTCCTCAACTGCCACCACTTAACACCCCTTTTTGTAAGCTGCCCAACCAGAAATACCTTTGGAACAACAAACTCTTCCAGAAGACCTCACTACCTCCATAGGGAAAAGGTAACATTTTGCCCTTTCTTTTCCAGAATCACCAAGCAAAGATTTCGGTCCAACTCTGGGTTTGAAAAAGTCCAGTTCCTTGGAGAGCCTGCAGACGGCGGTTGCCGAGGTCAGGAAGAATGAACTTCCCTTCCACAGGCCCCGACTGCACATGGTCCGCGGCCGAGGCTGCAACGAAAGCTTCCGAGCAGCCATTGACAAATCTTACGACGGACCCGAAGAATTAGAAGCTGGTAGGGCAACATGCTTCCTTAAATGGTTTCTTCGTCTCATTATTATCCATGAATCACAGGCAAGAATGTGTGCTTAACTACGAAGAAAAATGATTTAAGGATCCCAATTATATTTTTGATATTAAAAGTAATTCATTTTCCTGATATGTTTTGCCCTTTGGCTTAACGAACATGGAATTGGATAAGGCAATATGCAATTTATTTTACAGTGCAAACGCTAAAGAAATGTTCTCTTTCACTTTCCTACAAGGACCAACTGTCATTTGCCCTCAGGGTGGGAGCACTAAGTATGCATTTCTTGACATTCTTATTGAAGTCATTAGAAGCAGCATCAACCCGAGGACTGACTGCATTAATTGGGTGGAAGCAGTTGGGTTATTTTTGTACTCAAAAACCTCTCCTGGAAATAACTCACCCCATTTGTTTCCTACCCAGGGTGTGTGCTTGTCTGAGCTGATCAAGGTTAACAAGCTGACTTTCAGAGAGGTCACTGTTGTACCACCTACCAAACCTGAGAGACTACGAGCCAGGCAACCAGTCACCTCCCACTCCCATCACCAAACCTTGCTTGAAGTCACCAGGTTTAGGCAGTTGTCTCTTCAAAGGGTGCAAGTAGCCCCGTGGAAGAGTAGAGCTCCAGAGTGCTGTTATCCATTCTTCTGTATTTTACATTTTAACTTTTCTTGATATACAAGCAGTAAGTGCCCCTGACCACGTGTATTAATTGTTTGGTTTTTTTTTTTCTCTGTACAGACGGACTGTCTGAAAAGAGCTCGCACTCCGGCCAAGGAGCTCCGAACTGTGACTCTGCTCCTCAAGGGAACTCTGAGCTAGAGGACATGGAAAATAAAGCCAGGAAAGGCAAAAAACTGAAAGAGAAAGAGAAGAAAAAGGAAAAGGGTAAATTGAAAGTCAAGGAGAAAAAGCAGAAAGAGGAAAATGAAGATCCGGAAAGGAAAATAAAGAGGAAGGGATTTGGTGCCATGCTGAGGTATGGACTTGCTTGGAAGGTTAAGTCGCTTTTGTTTTTCATTTCTTTGTTTCTCCTTGTAAAATCATTCATTTGTGTGCACTCCAGGGGAAAAAATTGCAAGCTTTCCTTTCTTTTTGGCTAAATGCATAAAAATTTAAACAGAGGATGTGCTTGCTCCTTTTCTGCAGAGGCAGAAGGAAGCTTCTTGGGTGGCTCCAAAACTCACAGTGACAACAGGAAGCTGTTATGTATCTATGGCCTAAGAAAAGCCAATGCTTGGTAGAGACAGGGCAATTCCTGGGGCCCTCGGTACCTAAGTGTTACGTGGATAAATTAAATACAAGTCCTAAGTAGTGTAAATGAAGTGCACCCTCGTTCCCACCCTAGGATCCTAGGTGCGTGTGCGGGCAGGCCTGTAGGGTGCATTAGCTGTTGCCGATAGAGGCTCCAGTGGAGATGTCACCAGACCTGGGTCTGAATTCGCAGTCCTCTGCTCGGCAGCTACTGGGCTCCACACACATAACTTCCCTGAGCCTTATTTTCTCCACTTTCGAAACGAGGCTAGCATTCCTGCCCTCCTGGCGCAGTGGGGTTTAGGGACAAGATTTCATGTGCAATCACCCCATTAACTAGGCGTGGCTCAGCAGGGTCCAATCGGAAAACAACCTGCGGTCTGGTGTCATGATCACACCTTTTCCTGTTTCTCAGTCTCTGCAACCAGGAGGAAGGGAAGAGCACTATTAAAACAGAGTTTTATTTAACCGTTTGTATCTGGTTTTATCGGGCTGTCGGGTGCCCTTTTGTAGGCCACTACTGTGGATTTTTCAGGGGGCTCCCTGCTGCACCAGTCACCTATACAGGAGTTTCATCTTCTCACTGACTTCCGGAGACCCTCTGATCTCAGGCGGTACAGCCCTGGAGCCTCCTCATCCCAGCCAGCAGGCTTTGGTTCAAGGTGGTTTTAGCCTGACTGCCTTCCACAGCATCTCCTTGGCTCACTGGAATTGTGATCTCTTGTGCCTCTACACAATAGAAGTAGAGCCTGTTCCCACTGATCTTTACCTCCTTCCCCCACCACAGGCATCTTCAGAATGCTCCAGGGCAGAGTCAAGCATGGCTTTTCCACAGTCCTGGCTCTTCCACTTTCAATCTAAGTTATGTTGAGGAAGTTATTTAATCTCTTTGTGTCTTCTCATCTGAAAAATAGGAATCATAATAGAACCTACCATTATTATGAAAATGTTATTTGTTTACTTGCATATAATATGCTTAGAATAATGACTGGCAAGTAATAAACATTCCATAAACAGTAATTATTGTGGTAAGCAGGATAATGGTCACCTAAACATATACATGTTCAATCCCTGGTACCTGTGAGTATATTATGTTGCACAGCAGAGGAGAATTAAGGTTGCTGATCAGCTGACCATAAAATAAGGTGGTTGTCCTGGATTTTCCCCCAAGGGCCCAATGTAATCCCAAGGGGCCTTAAAAGTAGAAAAGGAAGATGTGACTATGGAAGAAAGACCTAGAGAAATGCTCTCTATATATTTGCTGGCTGTGAGGTTGAGGGAGGAGGTCATGAGCCAAGGACAGTGGGCAGCCTCTAGGAGGTGGAAAGATCAAGGGCTCGGGCTCTCTCTGGAGAGTCTCTGGAAAGGAACGAAAGCCTGCCGACCCGTTACTTTCAGCCCACTTTTATTGTTTAAGCCACTAAGGTTGTGGTGTTTTTTTTTACAGCATCTGTAGAAAACTAATATAATTATTATCATAATTATAACTATTTCTATAATGTCTTAGTTTTATAATTTACAAGGACAAAAATCCTCTTTAATCTAAGGTGTTAAAAACACTATAAAGGTTTAATTAGAGTAGTCTATAAATATAAAAACTGTTAGAGCTTCCCATTTTCTAGAACATCACTAAATTAAGCCTTAACTCTCTATTTTATTTCATATTATTTGATTGCAGGTTCATACTCCATTGTCCCTAACACAGAGCTGACTTTTCTGTAGTTCAGTATATGCTCTGTTTTCCTCTGGTAGAAATCACAGGGCCTCCTAGGTCCTTTAGACATCTTAGCAACTCGGGGTTTGTTCCTGTCTACTATTTTAGCAAAATTAAGATCTGAAAGGTGGTGTTTGATTTTATCTCTGGTGTAAAAATAGCAAGTGTTTTCCATAGCCTTTTGCATCTGAGTTTGCGAGCATATTGGAGCTTCTGCTACTTGCACATTTTCAACAACAAAGAACACAAAAGCTGTTACCATTAGCCAACAGATTTTGCTTTAATTCTCATCTGTTGCTCAGATGCTATTGACTTAGTTTCTTTCTTATTTAAAAAAGATTGATTGCTTTAAGGTTCTCTAGGAGTTAGATGTGTGGTTTAAATATGTATTATTTTTTCCATTATCTGCATTTCATGGATGGTCACTTTCCTGAACCTAGGGCTTTAATATAGGTTGTGAACTTGTGCCATGCACCATGGCACCTGGCCAAGGGTGTGAATGAGGACCGAAATTCTGCTTGCTTCTCCTCACCAAGACTCGCTTCGTGGAAGTGTGAATACGTTGACCATGGTTATACTTGTAAAAAGCTAAGTGCTGTGTGCTTTGCTGATACGACCCAATCCATTCATGTCAATGATAAGAAGTAAATGGTACAGATTAGCTCAGGCAATTTAACCTACTCCTGATCCTTTGGAAAAAATTACCAGAGATCTCATTAATTCATATCTTTACATGTGTTGCCTGGTTCCAGGATGCTTATTCTTTGTTGATTTCAGAATGATTCCTTGCAGATTCAACTATAGCTCTTACACAGGCCATATATTATTGTGGAAAAATATGCAGTTCTAAAACCTACCGACTTTAGTACTTGTCCCATATCCTGTTTGCCTACTGTTGAGAGAGAACTATAGGGATCAAGCTGCTTAAATGTCTCCGTTACCTATTTGGGTGCCTTCAGGCCTTGCACTCGGTGTGGCACCGCCCTGCACAAAGACTGCGTGAGGCTCCTGGCAGCCCAAGGGTGACTGGAGCTCAGACCCTCAACAGACATGCCCGTGGCTCTGAGTCTTCAGCCACTTTCCCGGTGTCTGGCAGATACCTCCTGAGCACTGAAGAGACATGTGCTTTGGCTAACAAAAGCTTGCCCTATGTAGAGTGAGAAACCCAGAAATCAGTCCCTGTTTTCTTAGTTATTTAATAAATCTTCTCGATCCTTGTATTCTTTACATTGAATTCAGCCATAGATTTGTGTTTAAAATCCATAGCTTTTATATCATAGCTGCTGTATTTTCCTCAATTGTCAACTGGTTTTGGACCCTGAATGGAAAACCTTGATGTTGTTGATCAAATACCTTTTTATCTATGTTTCTTTGTGTGATTTGGCACTCAAAGGAATTGTGCCTAGTAAACTCCTTTTTAATGGATTAACAAAGAACACAGTGTAGAACCTGCCAATAGAAACTCCATCTCTGTTTTTAAAATTTATTTGCTTAATTTATTTAATAACATGCATTGAATGCCTACTCTCTGCCAAGCACATTAATAATTATTCTTCATTTATTCAACTATATTAAAAGCATGCTTAGCATCTGGCACTGTTCTAGACCCTGACCATATGAAGTTTCTGCTTTTATGGTAAATTTCTTGTCTTAGTGAAGGCAGAAAAAATGAGACTTTTGAATATTTTGACTTTAAAACAAAAACAAGCAAAGTATTGCATAACCATGTAAACTACTTGTAACAATGACTTTCTCAGGAAGTAGTGAGCCATTTGCCTAGTATACCTCTGGGACAAAGCAGTACCTTGTCAGCTCATGGAAATTAGCAGTCATTTTATTCTGTGCCAAATAAGACATCCAGGCAGTAGCTCTTGTGGAATTTACATTCCAGTGACGGGGAGAGAAGAAACAACTAACTCAAAATAATTGAGATTATTTCAGATTATAGCAGGTGCTATAAAGAAAGTAAGAAGTCAGAAGAGATGGTGCCATCTCACCTTCGGTAACTGTCTTCACAGGTACTAGAGCATGCATCTGCCCAGGCTACACTGAATTTTTAGCAGTTATGTTATCAGAACTTCACACGCTGTGGTACTAATGCCAAATCACGTTATGCTTGCTTTTTCAAAAAAAATTTGTGCAGCATATGAATATGGGAAGGTTATTTTTAAACCAACTTCACATAAAGTTATCACAAAAAACTAAGCCAAAATAGGTCTGCTTTAGTATACAAAGCCCTATTATATCTGAAGGAAACATTCTAAAGAAATGTGGTCTTGAATCTAAATGGTGAACTTGGGTTGCAGCTGTTTGTAACAACTCTATTCCTCCTAGCCCATCAGTTGAATATTCCTTATTGTTCCTTCTTAGCTCAGCTAATGCAGGTATGCCCTAAGGATACACTGCTTCTGTGTCTACACAGAAAAACCTAAAACATGAACCCTAATGACAGAGGTATTTTTAAAAATCTAGAGACAACAACATTTTATTTATAAGCTTTGCAAATCTAAAGCATCCATGGTCATTTGCTTTATGCCAAAATATACTATATATCTCATTGAAATTAGGGCAACTCTGTATAATGGCAGCTTTCTGTGAATTCAAAAAAGAACACTCCTATGTGCTCACACATAGACACATGCACACAAACACACACCCCCTCGTCCTCCACCACCACAAGTGGCACAGACATCGCCGCTACCCAGTTAATACTGAACCTAGTTAAATAACTGTCTCTTACAGGCTCTGAATATTTAAATCTCCAGACCTTCATTAATCCCTCCGAGTCTCAGTCTACGCACCAGTAAACTGGGGATAATAGCACATTCTTAAATCATTGTGTAAAGAACAATTTATATAAACAAAGCTGCAATGCTATCCTGCCTGACTTGGTAGGTGTACTGCGTGTCTTCTGCCATGGCCCCGGCCCAGACAGCCAACCATCCGATATTGCCTTTGACATGAAGCCCGCTAAATTTCTGTTTTGATTTTTTATTTTCCCTCTGATCTCT